CCCCAAAACCCCAAAACCCCGTAATGACAAAATTTTGATAAACAGTTTATATTACTGATTAGTATTTTTTTAATTAATATTTTGAGTCATTTGCAAGGAAATAAATTTAATAAAAAAAGCAATTTAAAACTTTTCAAAATCATTCAATTTTCTATTAAGCCAAATAATGAATTAGAGATTAGGCTCCGAATCCATTGAAGCCCTCGCAATGAGGAGGTTTTACATTTCCTCCAAAAGTAGCACTAACTCCAGCAATATCTAAATGAATCCATTTGGTGTCTTTCTCAACAAAGTATTCCAAAAAGGCAGCAGCTTTGACTGCTCCACCATAGGGATGACTTTTATAATTGCTTAAGTCTGAGACTGTTCCCTTCATAATCTCTCTTGCTTCATCTGTAATAGGCATCCACCAGTTTTCTTCAAACACTTCATTACCTGTAAGTCTGAATTCATTCCCGAATGCCTCGTCATTAGTGAACAAACCACCATGTTATTGGCCTAATGCTACTCTGATCGCTCCAGTCAAAGTAGCTAAGTCAATCATTTTCTGAGGTTTGTAGTTTTGCTAAACATAAGTGAAAGAATCGGCCAAGACTAGTCTACCCTCGGCATCTGTGTTACCAATCTCAACAGTTAACCCCTTCATAGATGTTAAGATATCGCAAGGCAAAAAGCTGGCGTTTCCAATTGAGTTCTCAGCATAAGCAAAGGCAAAAATGACATTCATCTTGATTTGTAATTGAAGAGTACCTTATAGTGCTCCAAGGATAGAGCATGCTCCACCCTTGTCCCAATACATATCTTCAATACTCCCACTGCCCTTAAGATTTATTCCACCTGTATCGAATGTTATTCCTTTTCCAACATAAGCTATATGGAACTGATCTTAGGTTTGATCTCCTCTGTACTCAACAACAATGAATCTGGGTTCACTGAGTGCACCCTTACCCACATTGTAAAACAAATTCATTCCCTAGTCAACTAGCTCTTAGCCCTTGATCACTTTCAGAGTTACAGGTGAATCCTTAAACTGTTCTAGAACTTTCCTAGTTTCTTTTTCCATGTATTCTGGATTAGCAACTGACCCTCTAGTGTTTCCAGCTGTTCTAGCTATCAACACAGCTTCTGCTAGAGTAATCCAGTAATTGAAAGTTGAATTAGATCTAAGTTCAGTCTCTCCCTTGTAACTAAAGGTATAGTTATGAATTTTTCTGTGATAATTTGGTTAATCAGGAGTTAGTCCTGATTCATTAGTTGATTTGATACTGTATCTGTAGTTGGCCAAGATAAAGCTATTGAGGAAAGCAGCAACAACTTCCTCTGTCATCAGATCACTCAAGACAACTTAGACTTCCTTAGTTTTGCTTGCGTATAAGTCTGCAACTACCTTTGCTGCCAGTTTTCTAGCATTTAATCTCTATTTATCAACTGAAAGGTTTGTGAAGTCATCAAGGACTGCTAAGAGAGTTGAGCCTTCTTCTCTCAAGTCATGATTCCAGAGAGATTTATTCTTAAGCAGGATAGCTTGAAAGTTCTAGGATAATTGTCTGTCTTTTAGTTCAGTGACATTTGTGCTGACCAAATCTTGTTTATGAAGTACCAAGGCTATCACTGAGTTTGAGATTTTACTTTCCATTTAATCTAGTTTTAGAGATAAATTATTGAAAAATTAAAGTGGCAAATTGAATTTCATTAACTTTGATTGCATTTGAATTTAGAAACCTGGGGTTTTGGGGTTTTGGGGTTTTAGGG